CGGCGTATCTCTTCTCTCTTATTCTCTTCTTCTTCTACTGTTTCTATCTTTGTCTACTTTACACATAGATTTTACATATTGTCAATCTATATTACAACAAATCCCATATTTTTCAGAATTTATATTTATACTTATCCAAGAGATTCCAATTATTTTTCAAAACACAGTTAACGCGTTTTAATTATGGCCGATATTTTATTTGCATATAAATTTTGTACGTATTATTTTAAAATGGAAATCCACATGTATCAAATAATTTAAATTGAGATTTTACAAGATTTCCTAATTCTCTTTAAAAAAAAGTTGGGTTTGAAAATAATCGAAAGAAAACATGTTCATAATTCTTTTTTTTTTTTTTTCAAACCAATTGCTTATAAAAAATTATCCAAATTAATAATTAATAACAATTATGTAATTGATTTGAAATCTAATTTTTTTAACACAAATATTCTGAAATTTTGATTCACTTATTATTTGACCAATTATAAATCCACTATTCAAATTTACATACTAGTAAATAACAAACTTATAATTACTAAATAATCATATGAACGACTAATAATAATAAATTTAAATCAATCATATTAAATTTTACCTAATTTATTGAACCGCTCTGCTCTTTGGTTTAGTTGTTGGACTTTCCCGCAAGCCGGACACGCAGCAGAATTCATCCAAAACCTTACGGATCACAGTAGCTTGGGCAAGCAGCAGCTATGACATCGTCCATATGGTGGATTTGGAAGAGGTCGGGCATCAACATCAAGGTGCCAAAGGAAGGTAAAAGCTATCATCGAATTCATCCTAACTATAGGACAGGGTCAAAAGTCGTAGCCCAGAAGCTGCTCGTTCTGGAATTTCGAGATTAAAAATATCTAAATAAATAAACCACAAGTCAAAGAAATTCAATTTTACATGCCATCTGATTTTACTCGATCAGATAATAAAAAATCTAATATATTATAACCAAATTTTTAGGGAACATTCACCTAAAACAAAAAATTTATTATCTTTAAAAATTATTTTATATTCCAATTGCAATATCGGATTCAATTATATCTACAAAAGTAATTTTTGCAATGTTGTCACATACTGTTAAAGAAGTTCGCTAAAACAATTATCAAAGGAAAATTATTTTATTTCTCATTTTATATAAAACAATTATTTTATATTTCTTTGTTCGCTCCGAGAACAAAGAAATATATATCTCATTTGAAAGATTCACTATTATCTTATCTCAAAATAAATCGGAGTGAATGGAAAGATAACAAATAATTTACAACATCTATATAAGTAGTCAATTACACAAATCATCAACCACATCTCTCTAGCATTTTTTTCAATCTCTAATATGGGCTTCAATAATTGTAGCGTTGGAGCTAATTTGGGCTTGATATATTTGGTTACGAGATTTTAATATATTTGAGTTGATTTTAATGGGCCCATTTTAGTTACAAAAATGGGTCGGGTCATTAATGTAAATGACCAACATTATTATTTTTTTTTTTTTTGCAACAATATTTGGGCTGCATTATTTGTATTATCCGGTTGATTTTTTGGAACAATTATGTATTTGTTTATTTGGTCTGATATTTTATTTAATTGTGCTACTTTACATATATATGTTGCATAATATGCTATCCATTATATGAATTATATGTTGCTAATACTATCAAATCAAATGGGTAGTTTTTTATACAAGTTATATTTTCATTCTTAATTAGTATTTGTTAATTAATATGTGATAAAAATGTTGTTAGTTTGTTTTTTTTATTAACAATGTTATTAATTATGTATTTTTTTACATATTGTTTTTCTTAATTGATTTGAAATAATCGTACAATACCGTTATTTGGGCCTTACTTATATAGGTACTATTGATTCCAATTTTCGTATCGAATCAACTGTTAATAAACGACAAATGACAATTAGATCGAGCAGTTCATCAATTGTCATTCACTAGTATTAGTCAGTGGTGACAATGGCGCACCACCTAATCAAATAAAAGAAAGTGTGTATAAGAAAGTATTAAATAATATATAAATTTTTTAATCTGTCTGGCTCGTTTATATCTGTTGCATATATACCATGTCCATTAAATTTAATATTCAATATTAATAAAAAATTCCAGAATAATATATCATTTCACGCATCGCACGAGCTCGACTAGTTTCATTGAATATGCCACATTAATAAATGAGACTTCGTATTAAATTTTTTATATATTGAAATAAAATCATAAAATATATAACAAAATTGTTAAATCGATAAATTCAACCGCATATTAAATAATTTAATTGAAGTCAAACACAAATAATTATTGTCCCAAACAAAATGATTCGAATAAATTTTATTTGACTAAATAATATTATAAAAACTCAAAAAGACGACGGAAAACAACATAATGAGCTAAAAAAAGCTATAAGAAACTTAAACCTTTTCAAATATATAATTCATTTATTTAATTTAAAATAAATCTAATTTATTTTGGACCAAAATAAGATTAATTTGGCTAAGCTAAAATATTTTGGATTAGTTAACCGCCAAAACATTCGGGTGACCCTAGCACTTTGGCCCATTTTAATTTGTGTTTTGGCCAGGTCGGTCTATGACCTCCAAATTTCGTAGTTGTGGACACGCCCCTCTATTTTCTGTGTAGCACTTTGGCCCATTTTAATTTGTGCTTTAGCCAGGTCGGTCTATGACCTCCAAATTTCGTGGTTGTGGACACGCCCCTCTATTTTCTGTGTAATATACTTTTGTATAGTATTTATTTATTTTGCATAGTATTTACTTGAAATTATTTTAATATATTTTGGTATATGTATTTACTTGAATAAATTCTTGGGTTGTGCTCTCTATATTTTAGTCGATTTTTTTATTGTAATATATTTTTGTATAATTATTTGAACAAGTTTTATTGTAGATAAGAAAAGAAAATTGTGAGATTTCTAACCGATACTATTTATTATTATTTGGTAATAACTCTGTAGACAATTTTCATTAAATAGTGTAAAAGTATATAAAAGTTATTTATCTTAAATGTTTCATGCACAAAATAAATAATAATAACTAAAATGTTCTATAACACTATTAAGTCAAATACCTAGTATTTTATGTGTTATATCATATGAAATATGCCATGTCATTTTTTAAAAAATGTGTCTAAAATATCTAAATATTTTTTATACTATTCTTGAAAAGTATGTACAAAATTACTCAATTAATATTCTATGTTATTCGTAGTCTACTTTACAATAATAATAATAAAAAAAAAAACACTCAAATTCTACTTAAAAAAAATGCCTGTAAAATTAACCACTTGGTCCGAACCCATGATCTCCGGCCACCATAGGGTCACCCACACTCACTTGTCTGCGGCAGCCACGATATCACGTCTGATATGGCGAAGCAACACTGGGATGGTAACCTCAGGCGCGCTGAGCTGCGGCAGGTGGCCTTCGGTGGGCATGACCTCCACGACAGACCTCCCACCGACCCTCTGCCGTATGTACTCCGAGACGGAGACCGGCACCGCCATGTCCTTGGAGCTCTGGATGATGTGGCAAGGCACGGTGACCCGGCCGAGGTAGTCCCTGATGTCGAATGAGAAGATCATGCGGAAGACGCTGCGTGCTATGTCGGGCCTCATGTTGAACAGCGTCCGGCTGAACTCCTGCACCGCCACCGAGTCCATGTCACCCCCAACCACCAGCGGCGCGAATCCCGATACCCACGAGTTGTAGTTTGACTCAATTGCCCCTGCTAGCTGCTCGATGTCCGCCAGCTCAAACCCACCGAAATAGTCCGCCGAGTTGAGGAACCTATATATTACTTATCCAATTTAATTATTCAATTTTCCTTAATTTAATTGATAAGTTAATTAGGTACCTCGGGGAAGAGGAGAGCACGATGATTTTTTGGAAGAGGTCAGGGCGGAAGATGGAGGCGAGGGCGCCGGTCATGGCGGAGAGAGAGTGGCCGACAAAGATGCAGCTGCGGACGTTGAATTCGTCGAGGATGAGGAGGAGGTCGCTCGCGTGGCCCTCGAGAGTGGAGTAGCGATCGAAGTCGAAGTACACCGGGTTGGTGGTGCCGGCGCCCATGTTGTCGTAGAGCAAGACCCGATAGTCGTCCACCAGGTCGGGCACCAAGTACTTCCACACTGACTGGTCGGTACCGAACCCGTGGCCGAGGACGACGGTGGTGTCGCCGGACCCGAGGATGTGGACGTTGTGGGCTGCCTCTACGCTCTTCTTTTTTAATTCTCTTGATTCTGATTCTTCCTCCATTTTCTGCTTTACTATGCTTTGCTTTGCTGTGTTTATGTGTGGATAAGTGTCGATTATGAGTTCTTATTTATCCTTTTACAATTGATGTGTGTTGAGGGGGCCTATTCACGATTCAAGTGGTGAGCTGTCAGTGTGCGTGCTGACACCAGTCAAAGATTGGGGGCAATCCTTTCCCTGCTATGTTTGTTAACATCAAATGTTTGTTTTAATTGATGTTATCTTGTACCAATTTGTAATTATCTCGTCAATGTTTATGGTGTTATAACTTCCGAGGATGCTACCATCACGTTATGGGATAGTTCCGTTGTGTTTTCTAGTCATAGATATACATATAATCTCGTGATGGATAATTAATCCAATGCTTAAAAACACAGCGGAACCATCCCATAACAGGATGGTAGCATTCTCCTATAACTTTATCTTTATCAAATATGGAAAGTATGTTTTAAGTCTTTATTTACTTTGAGTTTCATGAAGATTGGTATAAATATAATGTTTTGTGCATATTGAAAGAGGACAATACAGGGACAAAAAAATAAATTAGAGAAATATACAATAATTTTTATATAGTGCTTTTCTCTTGTTGAGTCGAAACCATCAAGGCGGCTTGAGTTTTAGATCGTGGAGAAAATCGGTGACTCTAGTAGCTAGGGTTGTGCATGAGACTCGTAAAATTTCGGAACGTTCTAAAAATTGAACCGAAATCACTCTGAACCGAAAAATAACCGTTGACCACTTTCTCCGAACCGAATCTAACCAATCCGTATCGAGAACAGAACTGAACCGTCTCATATCGTACCGAACTGAGAACCGAAATTAAGAACTAAATTATAAAAATAAATGTCTGTTATTAATATATTTTATGTCAAATTTGATCCTACATAATTTGAGAATTTTTCAAAAAATAAATAAAATATAATAAAATAATTAAGCTTCACTTAAATTTTATACTCAGTAATAATTGATCTACAGTTGAATTTTTTATGTTTTAAAAGAAAATATTAGAAATGGAATGAAAGGTTAAAGAAATATTTTAAAAAAAAATATATCTAAACTTTACCTAAATTTTGTCGATACACGTTTATTAAGGTATGTTGATGTTGTTTAGACGTTAATTGTTCATACACGTTTTGATGTTGTTTCGTCGTTCTGACACCCTATTCAAAAGGTAGATACGCCAAGCCAAGAGAAGCTTCAAAATCACACAACTTAAAAAGAAAGTAACACCAATTACTAGTGTTCCAAAAGAAAGGTAGACATGCATCGATCCAGGAAGAATTTTCAAAACTGGAGAAGAAAGTTTACAGAGATAATAGCATCTATGCCGACTGCTACATTCACCGATATGAGTCTAGCTAGGCCTGATATATCATTAAAAATACTTATGATTCCCAACTGAGGCTGGTGGTCAGAATCCGACTGCAACAGGTGGCTTCTGTTGGGGTATCACAACAAGCGCAGCGAACAAAAATACCCCTTCAACGAATATGACAAGCACTACTCCAAAATAAAATAAGCCAACACAAATAAATAAAAGAGGGAAAGAAAAAGAACACAAAAATTGATAACGGAGTTCGGCGAAAATAGCCTACGTCTCCGGGCACCGCCAACCGCAACGCCAAATTTACTAAACTCACCAACAAAATACAACTAGGGTTAAATAACCCACAAAATAGGATTTCCTTAATTAAGGATTTCCTTCTAAATATGAGAGAATAGAATAAGGTGCAATTGTAACCCAAAGGCAAGGGACCTATTTATACTAAAAAGATCCTACACATCTTTGGTACACATCCGATGTGGGGCAAAACTTAATAAAAAAACTAACAATTCTCCACCTTGACTAATTTTGCTCCCATTTCCAACTCAACTGCTAGCGGTGCCTCCAAATGCGCCTCTCAGTGCCAACTCAAATATGCAGAATGTTGGTCAAGTCTAAACAATGTTCAAACTTGACTGTTGTCACTACCTTGGTCATCATATCTGCAGGATTCTCCGTTGTCTTGATCTTCTTCAACACAACGGTTCCATCTTCTAGAATCTCCCACACAAAGTGATAGCGAACATCAATATGCTTCGTTCTTGCATGAAATACTTGATTTTTCGCTAAGTGAATAGCGCTCTGACTGTCACAATGCACTAAGACGTGCTTTTGACCAACTCCCAAGTCTTCAAGCAAACTTTGAAGCCAAATAGCATCCTTCACAACTTCAGTAACCGCCATATACTCTGCCTCGATTGTAGACAAAGCAACTGTTGACTGTAAGGTAGACTTCCAACTGACTGTAGCTTTTGCAAAAGTGAACAAATATCCAGTCGTTGATCTTCGTTTATCCAAATCCCCCGCGTAGTCAGAATCACAATATCCAACTACACACTGACCAACTTCATTCTGCTCATAAACCAATCCAACTTCTACAGTACTATGAATGTACCGTAGAATCCATTTCACAGCTTGCCAATGACCTTTCCCAGGGTCATGCATATACCTGCTAACAACACCAACTGCTTGTGAAATTTCGGGCCTTTTACACACCATCGTATACATCAAACTGCCAACTGTATTTGCATATGGGACTCTAGCCATGTACTCTCGTTCTTCATCACAATTTGGCGATAACTGGGCACTTAACTTCAAATGAGGGGCAAGTGGTGTACTTACTGGCTTCGACTCATCTTTTATGCCGAAATGCTGTAGTACCTTATTCATATATTGCTTCTGAGTCAAACAAAGCTTGCCTCTCACTCTGTCCCTGCTTATCTCCATCCCGAGAATCTTCTTAGCTTCCCCCAAGTCTTTCATCTCAAACTCTTGATTCAACTGAGCCTTCAATTGATCAATCTCCACTTGGCTCTTTGATGCAACCAACATGTCATCCACATACAAGAGTAAATAAATGAAAGATCCATCTTGCAGCTTGCGTCAATACACACAATGATCATGTCTGCTTCGTGTGTACTTCTGCCCAATCATAAACTTATCAAACCGTTTGTACCACTGCCTCGGAGATTGCTTCAGTCCGTACAACGATTTGTTCAACTTACAGACCCAATTCTCTTTTCCAAGTCTGGCTGAGTCATGTAGATTTCCTCATCCAAATCTCCGTGTAAGAACGCCGTCTTCACGTCAAGTTGAGCTAGCTCTAAATCTAACTGTGCTGCTAAGGCCAACAAAATTCTAATGGAAGAGTTCTTAACGACTGGAGAAAACACTTTACTATAATCAACTCCTTCCTTCTGAGCGTAGCCTTTAGCCACCAATCTTGCCTTGTAGCGCACATCATCCTTATGAGGAAATCCATCTTTCTTTGCAAATACCCACTTGCATCCTATCGCCTTCTTGCCTCTTGGTAGTTGCATCACCTTCCAAGTTTGATTCTTCTGGAGGGACAACATTTCTTCCTCCATAGCCCACTTCCACTTCTCATTTTCTAAACTTCGAATTGCATCTTGAAAAGTGAAAGGTATGTCATCATCAACAATTGGAAGTGCATAAGCCACCATATCCGCCAATCGAGCAGGTTGTTGAATCTCTCGTCTGGGCTTTCTCAATGCAATGGGTAAATCTAATGATTCATGAGTCTGAACTTCATCATCCGACGAATCGTTTGATATTGTTTCGTCGATCATAGCTGGTTGTCTCGTCATCGCATCTATCTCCACCTGCTTCGGTGTCAACTCCACCTGTTGGGTTTGCGTCGTCTTTATCATACTTTGTTCATCGAATGTAACATCCCTGCTAAATACAGTTTTGTTCGTCTCAAGACACAAAAGACGATATCCCTTCACGCCAATTGTGATTCCCATGAACAAAGCCTATTTCGCTCTTGGATCTAACTTTGAATCCTTCACATGATAGAACGTAGGACACCAAAGACATGTAAAGATCCATAGTCAGCAACAAGTTTCCCCGACCAAACCTTCAACGGGGTTTTACCATCTTTTGCAGATGACGGCAAACGATTTATGAGGTGTTGCGCATATGTTACAGCCTCAGCCCAGTACTCCTTGCCCAAACCAGCATTAAACAACATACATCGAACTTTCTCCACCAATGTTCGATTCATGCGCTCCGCCACCCCATTTTGTTGTGGTGTCCGTCTACCGGTGAAGTGCCTAACAATGCCATTTTTTCGGCAAACTTCTTGAAAGGGATCACATGTATATTCTCCACCATTGTCTGTTCGTAGGACCTTGATCTTCCTTCCAGTCTGATTCTCAATTTGTGTCTTCCATGTAATAAAGACACCAAGAACTTCATCCTTCATCTTCATAGTGTACACCCAAACACGTCTGGAAAAGTCATCGATGAAAGTGACAAAATAGCGTCTTCCGCCTAATGATGGGGTCTTAGAAGGTCCCCAAACATCCGAATGAACATAATCCAAGACACCTTCGGTATTATGGATAGCCGTTCCAAACTTCACTCTTTTTTGCTTTCCCAAAACACAGTGCTCACAAAAGTCTAGTTTGCATACTTTGACATCTTTCAACAGTCCTTGTTTTGCCAATGTTTGCAAGGACTTTTCACCAGCATGTCCCAAACGCATATGCCATAACTTGACTGCTTCAGACTTCTTGTTGGTGGAATCTTCTACTGTTACTGTCACAACAACCGTATCACCTTCATAGTAATATAAATTATTCCTCCTTATGCCTTTCATCACCACGAGCGAGCCGGATGTAGCCTTCATAACTCCATCTCGCAAAGTCACTACCAAGCCTTTGGATTCCAAAGCTCCTAATGAGATAGGGTTTTTCTTCAAACTGGGCACATACCGAACATCCGTCAAAACTCTGGTGGAACCATCGCGATTCTTCAAACGAATTGAACCTATCCCAGTTGTCTTACAGGCATTATCATTACCCATATAGACAATCCCTCCATTGATCTCCTGAAAATTGAAGAACCACTCCCTTATGGGAGACATATGGTAGGCAGGGGCGTAGCCATAGCCAGACCAGTGTGGGCTTAGGCCCACACTGAAAAAAAAAAAAGAGCTTATATGTATACCCCGTATTATATCTATATATAAAGCTCATATTATATTAGCTTTGCTCATTAAAAAAAAAGTCTGCCAAAATAACTAATATACTAATATAGTAAAGTATTTAATTAACAACAAAATTAACATTAAACACATCAAATAAAAGTGTCTCCTGGGCATCCAACGCAAAACGCATAGACAGGAAGAAAAAGAGAGAAAATAGGGGAAAGGGGAGAGGAAAAAGAGAAAAAAAAAAAAAAAAAAGGGTCAAAGTGCGTACCAAAATTCCTCTATTTTTTGGTGGAGTTAAAAAATATTCTACTTTATTTTTTAGGTAATGGTAAATATATTCTTTTACGTAGAATTTACAAATTTAATTCCTAAGGTGCTTATAGCTCTTTAGATTGTGATATGTCAAAATTGAGAATTTTATTGATTGTAAATTTATATAACATTTTTTGTATATGAGATATGGAAAAATATTATCAAAAAAGGCCCCTTCAACAAAGTGCTTATGAAAATATCAAAAGGAGATACTTTGAATTCAAATAGATTTGAGTAAAATTCTAGTGTCACTGGCATAAAAAAATACGACCTGAAGTTTAATGATGATCGATGAGTTTGATTTTTCTCAACTTCCCTTTGGTCCCGGATTGAGAATTCCAATCTCAAGGTACAACCCAAATATTAGAGACCATGTTCTAGTTGTGGGCGCGGTTCGGGACGGTCCGGGACCGTCCGGGATTTGGCCTATCCCGGTACCTGTCCCGTTTTTTGGAACCGGTCCGGGAACGGTCCGGGACGAGACACCGTTCCAAACGGATCGGCATCAATCGGGACCGGGACAAAACGGTTCGGGACCGGGACAAAACGGATTAAAAAAAAAACAAACTTAACTAAATACCGATTCTGTTAAAACAATTAATCAACATACATTAAAATTTAAAAGTTCAAAACATACTCATATGATTCACTTAAAATATGATTGCTGGGAATGAGAGAATTGAAAATCCAAAAAATGAACTTCACACTTCAAGCGCATCTACCTGACAGGCTGACAGTTAAAAAAAAATTACAGTTTCAATCAAGACTTATACATAATAATAATAATGAATAACGTTTCTCAATTAACTTACATATTTTGGCCAAGTAAATGTGTAATGGACAATGGTCTAGTTTTTTAATTTTTTGGGCAGTGGATTGAGCATTTGCGCTTTAAAATACAAAGCCCAAGAAGTTCAATAATTAATGTTTTTTTTTTTTTTGGTACAAGTTCAAAAATTAATGTTAATTTTTTACTATAATACTAACATAAATATAATAGTAATGTATATATACATATATACATATATACATATATGTATGTATAATATTTTTGTACGAAAAAAATAAAACGGGACGGTTCGGGACAAAAATATTCAAAACCGTGACATTGTTTCAAACGGTTCGGTACCGGGGACGGTACGAAAATAAAAAACCGTTTGGAACCCTATTTTTCGGAACGGGACCATGTCGGTCCGGTTCGGTACCGGGAAATTCGGTTTTTTTGCCCACCCCTACCATGTTCAAAGAGCATATTTGCACAACTACATTGTTGATATGCGTTTCAACAATTGTTTAAAGAATTGAAAGGACTCAGTGAACTTGCAGAAAAGTTGGTGTAGACGAAGAAGCACAAAGTGTTTCGTTTTGGTTTACAAAATTTTAACTTTGGCGTTGGTCTTACCAGTCGCAACAACTAGCGTGGAACGAGTATTTTCCGCAATGAATATTATTAAGGATAGGTTGAGCAATCGAATGAGTGATGATTGGTTAAATGATAGACTACTAGTTTATGTAGAAAAGGAAACTTTCTTGGAAATTGGTAATGATGTTATTATCGAGCGATATCAGGTCATGAAAACTCGTAAAGAACAAATATGGAGGTATTTTTTTGTATTTGCACTTTTTCTTATAATATGTTATATTTTGTTATTAAATAATTAGGCCACCCCTCATTATATTTGCTAGATCCGCCCCTGATGGTAGGTGCATCCTGAATTCAAAATCCATTCGTCTGGATGAGATGATGAAGGTCAAACCACAAGTGAAAATTCTGAGTCTTCACTTCCACCCTCAGCAACATATGCATCTTGAGGAGATTTGCCCTTCTTCTTCAACTTAGGACAGTCTTTCTTCCAGTGTCCCTTCTCATGGCAGAAAGCACACTCGTCTTTTTCAAGCTTGGCTTTGGAACGTGATCTTCCTCGTCCATTCTTCTTTTGGCTCTTCGACCGACCTCTTGCAACTAACACTTCATCTTCTGCTGTTGCATTCTTCGTCTCTTGTTTGTTCTTCTTTCTCAACTCATAGCTATACAGAGCAGAACTGACCACTGCAAGAGTTACATCGTCCTTCCCATGGAGCAGAGTAGTCTCTAAGTGCTCGAAGTCGTCTGGAAGTGATGATAACAACATTAGAGCCAAATCTTCATCGCTGAATGTGACGTCCAAATTCAACAAATCTGCAACTAGCTGATTGAATGCAGTGACGTGATCATTCATTGATGTGCCATGCCGGTACTCAAAACGGAACAATCGCTTCTTCATGAGGAGCTTATTCTGGCCGCTTTTCTTCAGAAATTTATCCTCCAAAGCCTTCCACAAAGTGTGAGCAGAGTTCTCATTCTTGAACGCGTACTTCTGCTCCCTCGACAAACACGAACGAATTGTTCCACATGCTAAGCGGTTGATATTCTTCCAGTCCTTCTCTTCAATGTCTGTTGGCTTCTCCTTTTCAATCACAGTGTCGACGCCTTGCTGAAATAAACAATCCAGCACCTCGCCTTGCCACATGCCGAAATGACCGGTCCCGTCGAAGATCTCCACCGGGAGTCTGACGTTCGGCATCACCGTCCTTGCCGGAATGAATGCAGAGGATGATGCGCCCTTGACCTCCTTGGACATCTCGGACCCGAATGTAGTGCTCGCCTCGCCGAATGAGCCTGGGACGAACCTTCGGCTCTGATACCACTTGTTGGGGTATCACAACAAGCGCAACGGACAAAAATACCCCTTCAACGAATATGGCAAGCACTACTCCAAAATAAAATAAGCCAACACAAATAAATAAAAGAGGGAAAGAAAAAGAACACAAAAATTGATAACGGAGTTCGGCGAAAATAGCCTACGTCTCCGAGCACCGCCAACTGCAACGCCAAATTTACTAAACTCACCAACAAAATACAACTAGGGTTAAATAACCCACAAAATAGGATTTCCTTAATTAAGGATTTCCTTCTAAATAGGAGAGAATAGAATAAGGTGCAATTGTAACCCAAAGGCAAGGGACCTATTTATACTAAAAAGATCCTACACATCTTTGGTACACATCCGATGTGGGACAAAACTTAATCAAAAAACTAACAGCTTCCGGCCAATTTTCCACAACGCCGGTCTCTCTGTTGGTGAAGAACGGCCCCGAGGGTGCGAGACCCTTTTCCGGCGGCAACAAACCCGAACATTTATGTAAAAAGAAAAAAGTCCAATTCCCGAACGAGTAGTCGGAAAGTCTCCAATCTCGCTATAGTTTTCTTTTTTTTTTCTTTTTCTTCTTGAAGGTTTTATATATGTTTAAATTGGCTTTGTGAAACACTTGTCAGACAGAGCTGCAACCTGAGAGATGGCCACGTTCCTCACCAGCATCCTTTGTAACAACCTGAAAGCCTCGTCGACTCTGTCCAATCCACTCCTCACATACGCCGCGGTCAAGACATTCCACGACCCACGTGGCCACAGTTCATTGGGGCATATGGTCGAATAGCTGGCGGGTGTCTGAGATTCGGCCGTTGTCGGAGTATGCCGGGAGCATGGTGGTGTAGGAGACGACGGTCTTGTCCGGGTGGTATTGGGAACGCTTGAGCGGCGGAGGTCGAGTACGCCTTCAGAAATGCTTGGTGAAGTCGTGTGCATTTTTTTACGCCGGCAAGTGAGAAAAAAAAATGGAAATAAATGACAAAAGAAATGAATGTTTGAATAAAATGAAAAAAACCACAAAAAATGGAACCGCACCACTTTTAGAAACTGATCAGGTATTGAATCGTCACCACTTTCAAAAATTGATCAATTATTAAAAGTTAAATATAGCCCCGCCTACCGGGTCAGCGGGCCTCAATATCATGGTCCGTGATAGGCCCGAAATAAATTATGGGCCGATTTATAGAACCGACCCTTAAAAAAAAACGCCGCTGC